GATCCCTGTACATTTCCCAAATAATTTAATGGCAATAAACTACTCATCAGCTGACTTGTCCTTCAACCTCTACAAGAAGATTTTTAAAGGGCTGTTTTATTTTCCCCCCCTTTATTCCTGGCAAATGCACAAATATCTATCTGAGGTCATATTACTTAAATAGAAACTAATAGAAGAGTTGGTTGTACAAATACTTCACAATCTGGTCACAAACATGCTCTAAGACATGCTGGTCTGCCTTGGGTGAAATTCACCTTGGACAGAGACAAGAATTGCACCTTTTAACTCAGAAGAAAGTTACTATCCACCTTGTGCTTTAGTCAAGCTAGAAATAGAGTGAACTGGGAAAGCAAAAGAGGGATTTTAAGACTTCTGGCCTGCCAACTCTAGCTATTTATAGCAAAAGAGAATAATCATGGAATAAGGTGAAAATATTTCATTTTTATAGCCCTATATAAGATGAAGTTATCCTTAAGTGAATCATAGCCTCTGAACCAATAAACAATGGAGTAATGTGTTTAAAAAAGAAAAAAATATTAATGAAAACATGACTTTATTTGTCTCTTCTGGGAGCTTTCTGTGTCAGTTACAGTAGTAAACATGCCTCCTGTGAATCACTGGAGACGAAAAACAGACGTATACTTGGGCTTAAGTGGTTCATATGGGTTTGTAACAGTTTTGTATCTTTTGAGCATTCAGGAAAATCCGGCCTACAGATTTTGAACTGTGATTCTGGCTACAGAGGCACAACACATTCTTTTCTGTTTTTAATAAGTCTCTCTCTTTGTGCTACAAATCCTTCTAAAAAACTGCACCAGCAGTGCTAACCAATGGGTAGCAGCTAGAAGCTGTGGGGAGAGGAATTGCTTTGGCTGGACAGAGACTAAGGGATTTGTACACCCAAATTTCTATTGTTTTTAATAGGAATTTGGCTTCAAAAATCTTAGCTTTCATATGTGTTCAGTCTCTTAACAACTGGAGGTCTCTAACCCTTCATTCCTATCTTCCTGGATCAAATCCTCCATTGGCTGATGTACCAGCCAGGGGAAAGTAGATACATCGTTGTGCACATCCTTTCTTAAGATTCCTCCCTTGTTAGGTGCACTGTGCTGCTTTTCTGAACGAGAGCACCCACCATCTGCTGGTGAGAGCTTATAGCGGAAGGAAGGAGGGTCGGTATTCCACCAGGAGTGCAGAGGTTGCTTAATAACCTTAAGCAGGTTTACAATGTTATAGTGTGGATCAGTTTTTCCCTTTCTTTTTCAGTGGCTTTTCAGAAGATTATGAGAGACTTTATAAAAATACAGAGCCCTTATGTGTGTTATCATTATTCCATACCTACTGGCATACTGCCATTCTGATTCTCCCATGCAATATAATGTAAGGAAACTGAAAAGTAAATGTTTATGAAAATTCATGAATAACACCAGAAATTGATTACCTCAGTTTAGTTCAGATGGAAAATCTGAACGAAAACCCAGAAACTTAAGTATATAACAAGGGGCTGCTAATTTAATTTCTGATGACTTAAGTGACTGAGAACTTCAGAATGATTTACAGTAGGCTATATGTTACTTTAATGCATTCAGTTCATCACTGGGTTGCATGTAGTGAATGTAATCTGGTAAGGTGATTGTAGGTGATGATAAGATAGTTGCAAGCAAAAGGGAAGCGTTTCCAATGATGTTTACATTTTCCCTACTCTTTCAAATGACATAAATTTATATGGAAGAGAACTAGATGCACAGGGACAGCATTAACTACTACATATGCTGAGGAAAAATTGCAAGGGAGTAGATTCCTGAGGTGCGGTTAGATTAACATATGTTCAGTGTAAGTTTGTTAATGAGGCAGATGTCAGAGAAATGAATAACTTAGAAACCTTGATCAAGGCATCAAGACAACGGGACACATCATTTTGACACAAAGAATTTTTACAGATTGCATGGGACTGGCAGTACTCCAGTATTAGTTCCAGACTGAAATGAAATTCCATTCTATATCTTTCTTTGTGTTAGAAACCTGAGTACCAAGTGGTTATTGCACAGAACTATATTACGTGCACAATTTAAGCACACTGAGTACAGTACACGATTATAGCTCTATTTTAAAGCACACTTCTCTTTAACGTGTTTTTACTTAGAATGACTCTGTAGGTTAATATTGGACTCAACTCATATACACAGTGCATGGGATTCTGCAGGGAAGTTGCATTATCTGCCTGTGCTGAGCATAATGAAGAGGGAAAGTGCTCTCCAACTGTATGAAAAGAATGCATGATTGGTCATGATACTTTTGCTTTTCTGCCCATTGCAGCTGATGCTTTCATTCCAAGAAAATAAGCATTCAGTGCAGAGAAGGTGGTGGCTGAAGGTCTCCACCTGTTGCCATAGACATGTGGATTTCTGGCAACATAGCACAATTCTCTGCACAGGCAATTGAACTACCAGGGCTAGTGGGCTAGATGGATGGAAGGAATTATATTTAAATGCCTCTCTAGTGTTTAAGACGTCTCTAGGTGTCACTGATATTCCTCTGCCTTCCCATCTACCTTTTCTCCTCCTATGCTAAAACTTTCTGGGCCAGTTTCTGCTAGTGAAATTGCCATGGGACCTATTGGTCTGTTTTTGAGTTTGTGCTGTCTGCCTGAGTCCTGACCACATCAAGCTCTTGGTCTGTGGGCCACAGTTTAAAACAGAGAAAAGTGTTCTCATCCCCTTTCCTGTTCCACTTGTGGTTAGAGCAAAAAGCGTGTGTGGAGTATTTCTCATATTACATACAGCTTTATGAAGAAAAAGTCTGTTTTCTGATATTGAATCAACTACTCATAAAGGACCTTACCTTTCTAACAAAAGTTTTGTGCTCAGATCTTTTGCCTATTTTTGCAGAATCAAAAATCTTTTACCCAGGAGAAGCACTAGCTAGGGTTGGTGTTTTTGTTCTTGGCATCCCTCTATGAATGCTCCTGGTTTATTTTCCTTTTTTTTTATATTCAGAGGACAAGAACAAGAATGATTTCTAGTAAATGTGTTTTAGGACACTTAACAGAGAAAGGAGAGCTAGGTTACTATAAGCTGAGACTGATAGGTATTTAGAATTTGGAATATATGTATTTTAAAAGGAAGAAAATAAAATTGTTATGTGCATGGGAGGTGGGCAAGGTGATGGAAACCAACTGTGACAGCTTGGTGGCCTGACATTCTGCTGAAAAATGTAGGTTAAAATCTCTTGGTGAAGGAAGGGCATGGAACCAAAGTGGAGACAGATGAATGTCCTGACACTTGAGTAACAGCATACAGTCTCCAGACACATTTGTAAATGTCTTTGCATGTATGATCTTATATTGCACTTGTTTCCATGTTTCCTACTGGCTAGCTTAAGCCCTCTCTTAGTCTGCTGCTGTCTGCACATCCCATTTCAGTGTGCCTGAGGCCTCTGATTGATTTATATGTTGCTGCCAGCTTGAGACAGCTAATGTGGTTATCACCTCCAGCTGTTTACCCCACCCTTAAAGTGCTAAATAACTCCAGTGGCTCTGCAGCTGGTTTACTAACAGCTCAAATATCAGTGCATGGAGGGTGAGGGGAAGCTTGGGTACAGTAACCTCATCAGATGTCTGAAACAAAACCATCTCTTCTTGTCTGTCAGAAATGGTTGGCCCCCACATTGTGTGGGCCTCAGGTGCAAGGCAAAGCTTCCAAGGGCCCAGGTGCTTTTTCACATCTAGCTAGAAGTAAAATAATTATGTTTTACGGTGCTGAATGTAGCCCTTAAACTATTTTAATTTCTAAATTAAATGCCTGAACTCCATGCATAATGGGAAGCCCCATTATTTAGGTGCTGAACTGGTAAGCACTATTAAGATTGAGGAAGCCAGTTCTTGAAGTGGGCACATCAGAAATGTCCCTTGGAAATGAAACCATCTGAGGTTGGGATTCCGCTAGCTATACAGGGTTCTGCATCTGAATACATCTTTTAGACTCAGTTTATAGCTGTTACAGAATAACTGGTCACTCTCTTATAGAATAGAGCGTCTCCTCTGGAAACAGAGGTCCAAACAGATGTCCACCTTAGCTGCAGACATTTTTTTACCAGATCCCAAAGTGAAATGAGATGAATCTTTCTTATGGAAAATATGCAGAAGCTTACCTTGAGTTGCACTGAGTAGAAATTTGGTTGGTCCTTGTATCCAGGCACAGCTTCTTTGTGTATCCTTCACGCCTTACACTTTTGAGCAAAGCTCTCATGTTTCTGAGAGCTGCCAGTATTTCTAGTAGCATGTGTTCCTTCTTGGTGTCCTCTGTGGTGGTGGAGTTGGAGTTGGGTGTCCTCCCTGCTCTGCAGCATGATAGGAGTATAGGATCTGCCCCGGATTTGCCTCAGCCACGCACTTTGGTTGGATCCATTCAGCAGGGCACTGGGACATGGTCACTAAACAAGGGTAAGGACCTCGCCCTCCAGCTCTCCCTCTCCCTTCTATGTTTTAAGTACCACATAACACAAAATGCAATCTAGTTTCCCAATTGGACATCTTAATGTACCCTTTTATATACCAACTTTACAGCTGACTCCAGCTCCTATAGAAAAGGAATATAGTTCCTCCTAGGCACCCAAACACAAGTTAGATTTCTCTAAGTGCTCATCTACTCCCTAGAGTTTTTTTTTTTGTTTGTGTGTGTGTGTGTGCACGTGCAGAGTCAGTTGAATTAGGATTCTCTGTTCAGCGTTGTGATTTAGAGGGAGAAGAGAAACTTCTGTGTAGAGATGTCAGCAATATCAATTGCTCTAAGTTTCCTGGAAATATCTAGCTCATATGAACTGTGAAAAAAAATTGTACTGTGAAGAGTTATTGGAAATTAGACTATCTGTATAGCTGGAGTGAAATTCAAGTTTCCTCTTTATGTCCAGGTTAGAATCACAGAGGTAGGTGCATATAAATAATTTTTTCCTTGAGTTTTTCATCCAGTTATTTTCCATTTCTTTTTCTTTCTTGTTTACAGCCCTTGTGATTATATAACAGTTCTCAAGAGGAAGCTGCTAACAAGCCCATCTGATATTTTGTGCCAGCTGTTTCAGTGGAGGCGTGTTGGACTGGAGTGAACTCCGCCTTCTTTGACAAGGTATATTATATGAGTAACACCATAAAATGTATTTCAAACAGAATGATAGTCTACTTAACCTCTTGGTACTCTTTTCATTAATTTCTTCTTGGATCAATTATTATGCTTTGCGTGTCTCAAAACTGAGCTGAAAACTCCTCTGGGCATGGAATGTGTCATTCATTTAAACAACATCAAGGCACACTGTTCATGTTTAATTATTACTTTAATGCAAGTGCTAAACTGTTTTCAGTCACATCTAACAAACATGTTTTCTGGGAATGGTTGCTGCGTGACCTCAATTTGGGGACAAGTTAGGCTAAGCCTTGAAATGCTGCATCAAGCTGTCATTCCAAATAGAAGTGAGCTCTGTCATCCTTGCATGAACTACATACTGTTACATGGATGGTCTGGTGAATGGAGAATATATAGACTGCCCACCAGAATGGACATTGCAGTATGCTGATTTATGATGAGTAAATTCTAGAGTAATCCTATTGATGATGCTTAGAAACATCTGTTGACAATGTAGCTAAGTAGCTAAGCTAGCAACATTGTATAGTAGATGAAAGCCACCTGTAGTGAAATCTTTTTTAAAACGTATATAAATATTTCTGTCAGTGTTGGTGCATCAGTTCTTTTTCAGCTTATCCTTTATGGGATGACACATTTATGCGTAAATGGTCAGAATATTTATAGGCCCAGTTCTAGTGGAACGTGAGTATACGACTAAAGGTATTGCTCAAAAAGCCAGTTTGATGCAACATGTAGATATGAAAGTCACTTTAGTTACTTTTAAAACCAAACCAGAAATGTTGTTCAGGATCAGGTGTATGGAGAAAGCAGGGTCTGAATTGTGGGTATGTGAGAGATTTGTCTGAAACAATAAAGAAACAGTAAAGAAACAATAAAGACAGGAAGCATTGTGATATCTTATACCTTGATAGATGTTGGATTTACTGTGTTTTGATGTATTCCATATAAATTACATTATGAACAATGAATTATGGTACATCCACAGTCATTTCGTAAGGCTAATCTATTCCAATTTTAAACTAAGTCAGAGCATACATTCACTTGACATGGCATAGCATTCACCTTGTTCACATCTTAACAACTGACTAACACAATGTTGATAACACATAAAGATGCAGAATCGACTTAAAACTTCACACAGGCAGGACTCTAAGGTATGAGAATTTCCTTTGTATCTAAGAAAGATCAGTTGAGATAATTCATTATATCTGTTGGAAGATTTGCTTTGACATTTGAGACCAAATTTTGCTGGATTTCCCTTTTTCTCTCCTCCTTCCCTGCTTGTTTTTCATGTTTCTTCACTGGGCCTTTTTGAAGTCATAGCTGAAACTCATTGCTAGTCTTTCTTGCTCATGACCTTGTGAGCAGACAGCAAGACCTGAGTAAAGTTTGACAGCTGCAAAATGTAGCATATAAATGCTAGAAATGTCTGCTTCTGTTACTGATAGCCAAAAAGCTACAACATACTCTAACAAGATCTTTTGAAAGAGGACTTAAAAAAGTGAGTGACTGTGAAACTAGCTGCCTTTTGCCGCCCTTAATATAGAACCATTAAGAGTTTTAAAACTTCAGCTTAATGTTTTAGTTCATAGAAAGCTTTCTTTGTAAATTTCCTGGCCCAGAGTACTCTTGCTTTATGCTTTTGCCACAGTACTCTGTTGGTTTGTCCTGGTTCGAAGGAATAAATCCTGTTTTAAATTTCCTTGGTTTTTTATAACAAAGGGCCCTGGAGGAAAGAAAATCTTTTAATCCTCCCAGCAATAACCTGACACGACCTTCTAAACACACTATTAGCTCAAAAATATCAGCAATATTTTGTAGCTGTCTTAAGAGCTTACAATAGAGATGGACCAAATATTGAGAAGAACGATTATACTTGGATCTGAGGAAATCAGTATCTTCAGGACAACTACATGTTTAAAATGGGCTAAATGTTAAAAAGTATTTAAAAAGCTGCATAGTGGAGTATTGTTCAGTAGTGGTGACATTGCACAGCCAGTTTTCTGCATGCTCTTTCTAGGCTTGTGATTTCCTCACTGTCTTAGCATGAATTACTTGCTTTCTTTGTGCTCTTTCGTTACTCCAGTCTGCTTTGTCCTTCCTTCATAAGGGCTAAGCTTTTAGAAGATGTTCAGAGCTATTTTAGTATGCTCAGTATGAGATATTTCTTAGAAAATTTGCAGGAAGAACCAATTTTCTGCAAATCTGGTCTCTCTATTATATCAGTAGGCTGCCAACTATTGCACATAGCTTAAATGTCAAATAGGTATTTTTAAAAAATTAATACTGTTGTATAAATGTAAGTACATTAACCTAACTCACATGGAAAGAACCTTATGGTACTAAACTGTCACAAAGTTCACTTAAAATTGAGGTCTTTACGCTTACAGGGAAGAGAGAGATAGGATGTACAGTAGAGAAAGATAAAGGTAGTAAGAGAAGATAAAGAAAAGAAATCCAATTGCTTTTGGTAACTTGGGTTAAAGTAGCTAAATTCAGAGATAAAAAAGGATTTTAAAGCTAGAAGTTGCTTTGATACTTTTAAGTACTTCAGTTGTTCATTTTGGTATGCAGCAAATTCTTGATAAATCCTACAGCCATTACTTAATCGTTCTGTTTTGAAATTCATGTTAAGAATCTGAACTAAACCTAGAGAAGTCAATGAGAGCCTTTCAGTTGCATTAAGCACATACAGCAAAATTATAGCTAGGATCACAGATAGACATGGGGAAGGTGATGCCACAAAGTGGGATTTACCTAGACCCACGCTGCTGTGTGCAGCACTGTCTCGTTCTGACCCTGGAGAGGAGAGTGCTTTAAAAGTGTAGTTCCTACTTCAGATTCAATTTTAATCTAGCTGAGCAGTCCGAGAAATGTGAGTTTGGTTGGTACCAAGTTCCTGCTCCCAGATGTGAGAACATTTTGGGGGAAGGGAGTATGATATGGAAAAGCATGAGAAGGAGAAAGATGGCAGGAGCAGCCAGACATGCTGGCAGCATGGAGGCTAGAGCAGCAGTTCTTCTGTCCGTGCCACTGATTCTCACACAGCCATTATGGCCAAAGTTTCTGTAACATCCCTGTTTGCAGCAGGGATTGACTGTAGTCTGACTATAGAACGTCTGCCACACCTTCAGCTTTGGCACAAGTTTCTGTCTTGGGCACAGTGCTTTTCAAAGACATGGGTGCGCTCATCTGTGAGCTAGCTGTTGATGTACAGGTTGGTCTCTAAACTTCGCCCGCTAGGAAGCTTGGACAAGTGTGTCATCTACTCAACTTCCAGATTTTTTTCTGTTGAAATGTTTGAGGTCTACTTTGGTACCTGGCTGGTGGTGAATGCATTCTTCCCGCTCCTTTACAGGTTTGAAATACTGTGTTTTAACCAACACGCTACAGTTTATTTAGATAGAAGTATGGCAGGGATGCACCTCTGTCCTGCTGATGTTTTGAACTTTGCAAGAAAGACCTCTGTGGTCTCCTGATTATTCCCCCTTAGCTGTAGTGGCTGCCCAATTCCCAGGCCTCACAGGTTGCTGCCGCAGGGAGGAGACTGTGGTAACTGTCAGATATGTCATTGATACAGTCCTATTTAATTAAAATAATATTCCATTAGTTTAAATTTCTCTGAACACCCTCAACTGTTTTTTTGTTCAGTTCCAAGTCCTCCAGCAGCCAGCACTGTGCCCAAAAAGCTTTCTGCTTTTCTTTGAGGGCCATGCTGCTGTCTTCACTAGCCTCTGTGGACCCATCTCTGGACTGTCTCCTTGCTCTCCTGCATGTTTTTTTACTTCTGACATGAAGTAGTTATTCTGAAAAGCAAAGTCCAACTCCCACTTCTGCATTTTACTCTGGGGGAGATCCTTCAGACTGCGTGGCCCAGCTCCTCCTCCAGCTTTGTCATGCTGATTTGCAATTTAGCCTGTAGCTCCTATTGTTGTATTTATTGCTAAACAAAAGGAGTTTTTTTTTTTTTTTTTTTTGCTCTCTCACTGCTTAGGCTGAGTAGAAGATAGTTGTCGTGTCCACTAGCTTCCATGAGCTTTGTGGGTACCACTGAACAGAGGTCTTGCGTGCTGAGCATCACCTCATCTTCAGCAAGGCAAGATGCAAAGAGCTTGGTGGCCTGGCAACTTCAGTAGGCCTCAAGCATTTATATTCCTCATGGCTTCAAATGGGCTGCTTATTCCTCACTGATTTAATGGTTGACTTCTGATGTTTTTGGATGAGTCAGATGTCTGTAATAGTGACACTCCATCTATGTATGTGGTAAATGTGAGAGAAAACAGATGTCTATAAAAATCACTGAGTTCGATTTGCAACAGTGAACAGTATTTTGATTAATCATAGCTGTATAGCTAATGTGTACTACCTCTCTAGTGGGGGGTGGAAATTACTTCTTTCACACCTATGTGACTTCTACCTTCACATTTGTATTTTTTCTAAAACTCGACCTAGAGTACTCTAGAGTTAAGTTCAGGTCTGTTTGTTTTAGGATTAATTGTACAATCACTGCAGTGTTTTAAAACAGTCTTGCAACCTTAAATTTCAACATTGAAAATTTCTGGCAATATCTGAACTTTGCTCATATGTAAAAGGAAATGAACAGTAGCTGCTGAGTAAGTGTCATACACCAGTTGTTCCCAAATAGATTTTTTCCAATACAATGTGAATTTATTTGGTCCGGTTTTATAAGTTGTCTCAGACCAAAGCTGAATCATTTGCTGAATAGTAGATGAAAGACAGAATCCTAATCCAGGCTTAGTCTGACACTCTGAAGCAAAGAATTTCAAAGTTCCTGAGATCAGAAGGCAAAGAATTTCGCAAATAAGTATCAGCCAACTCCTTTTCCTGTAAGACCTGAGGTTGAATAATGAAAAACCAGTGGCAGAAAGTAATAGCTGAACAAAGAAAAAATGAAAGGTCTAACCCTATGAACTAGCTTTAAGGTCATGAACAGGATCTTATAAAATCAACACAAATTCATTACTGGAAGAAACCAGAATATAGTCTTTAACGCAGTACGATATGTCAGAACTGATCAAATCACATATATGTGCAAAATTCAGAATAACTGGAGTTTGCTAGTGAAATTAACAGGCAGCGAAGGGAGGATTTCCCTAATGAAGCTTCTAATTTTCTGGAGATACTTCTCTGGTTCGCTAACTATGGTCTGGACAAATCGTGAGACAAAATAGGCACTTTATTTCACAAGTTTCCGTGTGTCCTGTAACAGGATTTTGGGAGATGGACATATAGTCTGCAGTGCTGATGTTATTTTATTGACTCACCTACTCCAGTGTTGAGGTTTCAGGAACTCTCCTGCTCTGTAGAACCCTTTTTAAGCCCACATCCTCTGGCTTAAATAAAGACTATAGAATGCTCTAAATGCACTAACAAAGGTCTGGGTTTCTTTTTTAGAAGTATGTAAGATATAAGTCCAGTAAATGGGCACTGAGCATAAGTATTAGATATCTTTTGTTTTTTGTTCTTGATTTTGAAAGATGGTATTTCTCAGAATAATGTGAGAAGACTTGGAAAGCTAATTTATTCCTGTTGTAAGATAATTCTGCAAATGACTCAAAAGTGCAGTAATTTAGAAATCTTGAGGTTCTTTCTATATCTGGATTTATGCATTCAGCAAGCTTTTAGTGAAAATATATGAATCTTTGGTAATTACTTTAATTCATGAATAGAACTTTAACTGAGCTGAATACATGAATGTACCTTACAGTGTTCAGGCTTTGTGAGACATTTCTGCTAAATCGGCTTATGAATTTCCTTTTGATGAGCTTAATTGTTGACAGATTTTTCAAAAGCCAGCAACAGCTTTCTTTGCTAGCTAGTATTCACATGAACTGGATAGTCTTGTGAAGTCCTTTATTCAATTTGCATAATATTTTGCTTCTGCTGTAAGATGAAGCGAAATCCTTTGTAGTGAAACCAACAATGTTAGACATATTAAAGGCATCAATCCTAATCAAATAAAAGAAAATAGAAAATTCACCCTCCCAGCTTGTTCTTCAAGATTTTAGGATATGTACAGCTAGAAAAAATACATATTTTTTCTTTTTTTTTCTTTTCAAAGAACTGTTATGAAAAGGGTCCTAAATAATGTGTTATCTCCTATTCAGAGAAGATATTTTACTGGTTACTTAAGCACAGCTGTAACTGTGCTTTTCGTCTGGGATCCCTCAAGTCAGAACGCATTGCAAAATTCATTAAATCTAGTAAGCTTTTTTGTCCGTTTGCATACAAGAGACAAATTTTATATCTTATATATCCAAATGTTTTATTGCTAGTTTTAGAATTTCTACCTTTGAATATTATTCCCAGGGTGTATAGGTAGGAAGGGAATAAAATGTAAAATGAAGAGTGGGATCTCTGGCCATAATGATGGTTGTGGATGTCTGAGGGTAGTGAAGCATGCAGAAGCCTTGAAAATAAGTGACCTTCTTTTCTCCCAAACATTTCTGAAGAATTCTTGCCCGTTAATAATGCCTTAAAAGTAATAGTCTGGGATCTGTGTATTCTAGCCAAATGAGGCCACATCCCACAGTCCTTGCTTTGTGTTTACTGGAGTAAATCTCCCATTTGCTCATGATAGGATGAGGTCTGAGAACTGAGTAAGGATGGCAGGATGGGAATTGGTTTGTCACCTCTGACAGTGGGTTTGCAAACTGCTGGAACCACAAATGAGCTCAGTGTTTAGCAAGATGGTGGATGCCAGCATGAAGCTTGGAAGTGCCAATTTTAATTAAAACCTGCACTTTCAAATGAAGTTCTTAGTTAACAATGGGTGGGAAATTCTTCCCACCATATAAATTTTCTGAATGCTGTATTGACTGGCAAGATGGGGGCAGGTTCTCTTTCCACAAAAGTACTGCTACCATCACCTCCCCCAGCCAGAAGAAAAAGACTACATTGTTTGTGGAAACTCTCCTTGTTCATGTCCTGCATTTCAGCCAGAACAGACAGATTTTATTTTGTCCTCCTCACCCCCCTTCCTTCATTGTTAACAATGGAGCAAACACATGAGATTAACATGGCTCTTGACATGGCTCAGTTGTTTGCCATTTGGAAACTACTGATTCCTCAGTTGTATAATTGTAAAAATTAAAAAAAAATTAAAAACATAAAAATTAATCAAAAGATTCAGTTATTTTCTGTTTATTCTAAAGACAGGGAGAACAGAGTAGTAGGGAGAGAAGGGGGGAGCCAACAACAAAAAAACAAATTAGTTTAAGAACCAGCATGTTCCCCTTACTTTAAGGAACACAGTAAACATTTCAAAAGTGCATGCCAGCTCATTATCTAACCCAGTCTTCACTGACTTCATGAAAAACAGCAGCAGTTAAGCAATTTTTGCCAAAAGTAAAATTTGGGTACATGTATTGCTAAAAAAAAATTTGACATCTGCTCCATACAGGTTCCTTAATCTGCCACACAGAGGCAAATCAACATTTCATTGTTATCCTTTCTTTCTGATGTTTAGCCCTTTCTTGATTGCTCTTCGAGTCTGTTTTGAGCATTGTTTATCCAGAGCTCTGGTATGACCTATGACTTGAATTGTTGGCCAGAAATGAACCTCTCCAAGTGTTTAAAGATGTAGACACAGCGTCAGTAATATAATCTGCGTGGTAATATCTGTTTGAAAATACTTCTTTTACAAAGTTTATTGTTTTAAAAAAATCTGTTTATGGATTCCTTCATTAACTAAGTTTTAAGAGTTAATTTGTCATTAACTTCACTTATTTTTTTGATGAATGTTGTTTTGAATACTCCAGGTAGCTGCCTTTTTCATTTAATTCAGTGAATACTTGTAATTTATATTTAAATGTTTGTCATAATAATTTTAGTAAAATGTGTATTCAGTTATCATTATTTATTGTGATAACAATGGATACAATGGATTCCATTAATTCGCTCATATTGATAAGTTACTAATTCTTTGGGAAACACATATCTTTCTATGTCCAAAGCATATTAATTCAGGAGTACTTTGAATCCTATTGAACTCTGTTTCCTTTGAGAATGACTCTTCATTTAAGAGAAGTGCAAGCATCTGTTGAACAATTGTTTTATTAAATAGTTTAAAGAATATTTCTTTTGAAACAATGCAGGCTTTTTCCCATTGCCCTTACATTGTCTAGTATGTCCTGTTGGCATTGTCTTTTCTCACCTTAAAACTTTCCATTCAAAATTAATATGGCAATCTGTATTTTGCTTTAGAATCTATGTGATTTTCTGCCATATGCTTAAAATGCAAAGTTGTGCAGTTCTGATAATCAGTTTCTCTATTGCACATGCGTCATACTCTTATTCTTTATGAGTGATGATTATTGAAAAAAATCTTACTTTTTTTTATATACAGTTTCTGATTTTTTTTTTCTGAAAAAACAACCCACACTAATTCAAAATTTCTTAATAAAATAGGGCATTTTTTTGGTAGAAAACAATGCCACTTTAAGGTTTTTGAAATATTTATCTCATTTTCCTTTTGGGAAAAATAAAACAGCTGGTGAAATTAGGATTTCAAAATGGAAAAAAAAAAAAAAAAGAGCTTAAATAAACACCCATTTAACATTTTATCAAAATGAAGAGTGCTGATGAAATTTAAATATTCGCATTTTCAATAATTTTTAACTATTTCAAATATTCTCTTTGCTATTGTTGAGATTTGAAGTCCTCATGAAGACCAAGTGACAGAATGTAAGTTTCTCTTTCTCTCTCTTTTTTTTTTTTTTTCCTTTTGAGGTAATTACATCTGAAATAGAGTATATCAATAGTATATCAATACGTTCCAATATTTATTTCATGTCTTTCTTTGTTGTTAAGCAAAGGTTGCTTCGCTTCTGTGGCGCAGTTACTTCAGTTGATGCAGAACAATCTGGAAAGTACATTTACATGGAAAACCAAAGTATTGCACTTTGACTACAGTTTTTATATCAGTAGAAAGGACATTGGTATTGCCAGTAGAAAGAAAAGTGAACTTTGACTGTGAGTGTTGGTCAGAAAAATGTCGGAGGAAGAGCATAAGGACAGCAATCTACAGTTGGACCAAAGGTTGTTCCAAGACTTTGTATCTGATAGCAGTCAGCAGAATATCCTTATGGACAAGTGTAAGAAGCAGGGCAAGTATAGAATTATTCTTTCTGCTGGTATACTTTCCCAGCTTCTGACAGTCAGCAGTTTCGGGACTCCCTGTGCCGAAGTTGCATCTTAACCATTGTTTTTATGAACCACTGAGTGCGGAAGCAACAATAGGAACAATGGATCACTGTTCAGCATCAGTGGCAACTGCGCTTAGAAATAAGTAACAGTGCCACTTCAAAATGCTTGACATGGACAACAGAAAGAGAAGAGCCAGGAAATTATAGCAGCACTAAAGCCACACCCATGGCCAGAGGCAACATCTCACAGCTCCTCCAAGTTGTGAACTCCTTGGGAGCTGAGAATCCCTACCGTGCAGAGAGGTAGGAGCCAAACTCACCCTTATATAAGGCAGCAACTTCTGCCCCTGTGGGTTCTGAATGGGATTTGGTGTCTTGTTCTTCAATGTAGGGGTTCCTCCTTTTGTTTTTCTGCTGAGATTCCTGTTTGGTGAGAGTTGGGTGACCCTGCCTCATGCTAGTAAAAGATGCTACCGGTCAGCTCATCTCTGGTAGTTGAGAGAGACTTCCACATTCTCTCAGAGTCATTGTCTAGTTCCTGTTCAAGCATCTGTCCCATGTAGGAAGGCATAACATGTTATTTCCTCTGACAGTGCTCTTTAGGGGCTGTCAGCCTAAATCCCCAATAAACAGATCTGCAGTATTCTTCATGCACAATGATTGTCCTCATATGTGATCAACTGCATGTTTCTTCCTACAGCGAAGCATTTGAAAAGTGACAGAGCCTGAAGAAAAAGAGAATTCAAAATCTGGTGCTGAATTTTCTCCTGGACCAGTCTGTTCTTCTGTATCCATGAACAAGTAGGTTCCTGCAGGAGTAGTTTAGAGGCCTCACCATTAGCAAGTGTCTCTGCACGGTGCGGCGACTCCTGCTAAGATCTTGTGAGTATTTTGTACACTGTTGTTCTCCCTGTAAAGTAAAAGCACACTGAGAGATAAACTAGAAGATCCTGTCTGTTGTGAACACAGCACAGGAAGGCAGTTGTGATGGATAGGAGCTGAGCTGTGACCATGCTGCAGGTAGCTCCTGCTCTGTTTCGGAGACAGTATTGCGTATGCTTTTTTTCTTTTTCTTTTTTTCTTCTTTTTTCTTGAAGATAAACTGGAACATTTTAACTTTAAAAGACTGTTTACTTTTGCAGTGTTCAGGGCTGTGGCTACATGATTAAACTCTCATGCCGATCTTTAACAATTCAGGGGTCAATGTTTTTGAAAGAGTAGGAAGGATTGCAGTGGTATAAAACAGTGTGTCTGCTGCTCACTTTGCTGAAGAAAGCTGCAATACTGAAAGAACAGCATTTATACGAGTAAGTCAGTCTCAGGGAAGTAGCAAAGTACAGTCTGTGAATTACACTGTTACACACAGATACACAGACATCTGAATAGGATTTTTCTCTTCTTTTGTTTGTTGTTGAAATATGTATACAATTTCTGTACCTGCTAAATTTTTGGCCAAAAAGCTCATTCTTCTGAAGACTGAACTAAACCGCACCCTTCAAATGTGAAGGGCTGTTGCATTAAACTATTGTGCTTTCTCCAGAGAGTAAGGTCAAATGAGGACAAGCTTGCAGCAGGTGCAGTTTCCTTTTAGGAAATTGGTGGTGTTTCTGAATTCTGTAATGTGTTGGTTTTAGTCTCTACAAAATACAGCTTGCATTTTGTTATAACCAGTAAGGAATCATGCATCTGGAACAGAGTAATATATCTGAGCAATTTGTGACATTTAACTTCAATCTGGTTGAGATCCTCTGGTTGCTTTCAATTTGAACAGTGCAACAAATGTGTTCCCAGTCTCCTCTTTTATCACTTATTGTATCATTTAACAAAGGTCACAGTGACCCAGAGGAAGCTTAAGAGGAATGAGTTGTGGTGGACCTTGGAAATGAAGTTTGACTGTGATTATGGTGGGCCTGAAGCCAGGGCCAGCTCTCCAGTATGCCTTCTGTTTGCACTCCATTTTTCTGGGCTGAATTCAATCATGCAGCCACATCTGTGGATGAGGCAGAAGTCTGTGATAATTAGTAATCTCTCTTCTCTGATGAGTTTTTCAAAAGAGTACTTTAAATTGTTTACTTTTTTTGTGGTTGGATTGTTGAATTAATAACAAAAATGTAGCCACTGTTGAAAAGAACTATCTTCACATGAATGTCCAAATGTTCAATTCTGTGCTTGCCTCTTGCAAATCTTCTTGTGATAAACATTTTCTTAATTTGGACTCACTTGATTGTATCAATATATTTTACATCATGTTGTAAATTTATTTTTTATTATCTGTTTAGATTTTTGATTAACACTGCCTGATTAGACTAATGCTGGTGTAAGCTGATATTCACTTAATGATTTTATAGTGTTTCTCTTTCATGTAGTGACTACTTTTTTAACAAACAGAATATTTCAAAACCTATAAAAACTTGTAAGGTATGAATCAGTAGAAATCTAGTAAGTGTTCTGATGGTAACTTATTTCATGGTTCGAATGTGCCAGTGATATCTGATTTCCAAAAGTTTTCAGATGTAAATCCTTAATAATAACATTGAATTCACAGACTTCTGTAGTATGCTTTATACAAGCCTTTGCAACAGTACAGAGCCTATTCCATAAGGTAGCTGTAGCTGTATATGTATAGACAGAATTATAGGGTGTATAGGTGTTAGTGTTTCCAGCTATAAAATAGACAAGATCAATCTTCTTTTTTTTTTTTAAATAATGTCCCCATCTGATACTTTTTTTTTTTTTTTTTTTTTTTTTTCAAATGCAGAGGTTCTCCTGGCTCCATTATAAACCTTGGTTCTGAGTTTGTCAAGTTGTTTGTGCTCAAATCTTACTATCTTATGGTCTGCTAAACTGTTGTAATGGTTAGTATTTCTCTGCGTAAGAAATAATCTGCAATTCCTAAGAAAGATGTATTCAAGTACATGGCATACATTACTTACGCTGTATTCACTGAAAAGTGATTGCATCTTTGATAGATAACCTATGTTCTGCCTTGTCTCCAGTTGTAGTCAGCACACTTCCTCTATTAATTCTGTTACTGTTTGTGCTATGGAGGTCTGGGAAAGGAGTTGACAATATGATATACTTATCTCACTCAGTTTCTCCCCATGTGTCCATTCAGTGCACATTTTCTGTATTTCTCTTTTCTTTTATATTGCAAATACATTTGTAGAATATTGATATTTTTTTTCCCTATGAGTTCTCCAGTGCTATTTTCGGTTCCTGGCCCAAATTATGAATAGAACAGATTTCTTCTTTTCTTTTTGTACTTCCTAGTATGCTATGAGTCCATAGGCAAATCAGCATGTTACTATTTTATGACTTGGGTTACTGTACCCCCAATATATCTGGTACTTTCCAGATGTAGGGGCAAGTTTCATCTATGCTGTATTTAGAGCAAGAGATTAGACTAAAGGAAAGTGTATTCGCTGACCTAAATCTTGGCATTCCTACTGTTGCTTTATTCCAATGAAAAAGGAATACTTCCACATGTTTAGTAATATAATTATCAGCCATTTGTTCCAGATTTATACACTATAATAAACTGGAAAATAAAGCCATTCCAGTTTGGATTTGACATGGAACCCAAACATAAGAGACTGAATCAGTCACAGGAAATAATACGTGAAGCTTTACATTTATGCAATCTTGAAAGACAAACTTCAAAAAGTAAAAACTACAAGCTCATGTGAACTCAGCTGCTCAGCAGTTATAAGTTGTTCAAAATGTTTTTGTTTTTTTTTTTTCTTGAAGTTCCTCTTTCAAAAGGAAATCCTCTAGGGATTATTTAGCCTAAAGTACCTAATTTCTCTTCTAAAAGTAAATATTCTTATTTTGTTGTTACATATAATCATAAATACAAATATTTTGTTTTGCTTCTAACTGCATGATATACATCTACTGTCTGCACAGGAAGTACAATTACTGCTAATGCTACCATTACTTTCTAGTCATGTTTCAAATTTGAATTTTTTAAATCCAGATTTTTGCACAACTTTTTCTGTCCATGCACTCAGTTCTGTTCACTATTGTATGTAGATGGAACAGAAAAATTCTTTAAGAAGTCATAAACTACATTAAAACTTTTTACCAGTTGGGTTCATAAAAGCTATGGGACAAATATATCAGATCATATTCATATATTTTTCCAAAACATTTCCCTTTCTTGCCTCCCTGCTTTTTGTATTTGGCTACAAAATAAACTGTTGTCTCTAATCAAAGTAAGAAGATACAGTATTCATAGTTTCAATATGCAATGAATAATGAACAGTTCAATTCCTGTGTTTCTGTCAAAATATGGTTAGCTTGTAGTGAATTTATGACAAATGTAACTCTGCAGTTGTTTTCTGTTTAAAAAAAAAAAAAAAAAAAAAAAAGTATATAAAAATATATTGGGCCCTTTATTTACCAGAATCACACAGAGTAAAAGTTTAACTATCGTGTCAAGGCTATCTTCCCAACAACACAACAGGCAAACTTAAGTGAATTGGAGAGCAAAGTACACATGTGTTTGCAACTAGCATTTTCATAAGATAATTCAGATTTTGCTATGTACTTTTGTAATGGCACTAAGCAAGTTGATTGGTGTAGAATGGTGCTGAATAGAAAATGGAGGAGGAATCATGTTGTAATACCTTCCTGCTTGAGTCATAGCTCCTTCACCATACATTGGTAAACTTTCTATCCAAAGAACTAGTTTATGCCTATTTATTTAGTCTTATTACCCCTATTTCAAACAGTGTGTAAAATGCAAAACGTTAGGATTCCACTTATGTACGAGTGATTTGACTAGTGGCTTGGCCATTATGTGGTAGCCAAGCTGGCAATCTCACAGAAAATTGAAGTCACTTCTGGTGGGCTAGCAAAGTTGCTTTGCAGTGAAGAGAATTTAATGAAACAAAACCTGTCCCTGTTAATGTCAAAGATAATTTTGCTGTTGACTGACTCTGATAGCTTAAGGATTGGTATAAATTGTTTCAGTATCTCTTAAGATCCGTTTCTTGAGAGCTTTTTGTGCAATTCTCCAGTCCCTTCTCCAGTATCACTGTAGCTTGCTGGACCATGCTATGCAAGGGTTCATGTGGGTGCCAAGAGCAGCTCATTGGAAACTCCATTTTTTTTTTAACCACAGAAACACGTTATTTCTGAGAATACAAATTAAATAATGGTATCTGTTGACACGGTAGAAGGAAGGGATGCCATTCAGAGGGACCTGGAAAGGTGGGCCTGGGTGAATCTGATGAGTTCAACATGACAAAGTGCAGAGTTTTGCACTTGGGCTGGAGGAATCCCAGGCATCCGTACAGGCTGGAAGGAATGGTCCTTGAGAGCAGCCCTGTGGAGAAGGACCTGGGGATCTTGACAGATGAAAAACTTAACATGAGCCAGCAGTGTGCCCTTGCTGCTAGGAAGGCAAATGGTATCCTGGGCTCCATCAGAAGAGGGGTGGCCAGCAGGGACAGAGAGGTGATTGCCCCCCTCTGTTCTTGTGAGGCCCCATCTGGAGTACTGCATCTTAAGTGTGGAGCCCCCAGTACAAGAAAGACAGGGAGCTGTTGGAGAGGGTCCAGAGGAGAGCCACAAAGATGATCAGGGGACTGGAGCACCTCCCCTATGAGGACAGGCTGAGGGAGCTGGGCTTGTTCAGCCTGGAGAAAGGAAGGCTGCAGGGTGACCTCATTGCAGTGTTTCAGTGCCTAAAGGGAGCCTACAAACAGGAGGGGAATCAACTCCTTGAAAGGATTGATAACATCAGGACAAGGGGAAATGGTTTTAAGTTGAGGGAAGGGGAAATATAGGTTGGATGTCAGG